TATCTTAAAGCAGGGGTAACATTTGAATGAGTGAAAAGGGCATCCCCAACTGATGATGAACCAGCATAAAGAGGAATTTTGCCTTATAAATTCCTAAGATTTCACCGGATTTTATGATACAAACACAAGCATCATGCTAATGAAATTAATAGTAAATTCAAATAAAAATAAATTGAGACTTTTTCCCCCTCAATTTGTTCAACCTTTCCATCTTAATTATGTTATAAAGAACAGCATGTTTGGGGCGCCTGGGTGGCTCAGTGGTTTAAGCCTCTGCCTTTGGCTCACCAGGTAGCCTGCTTCCTCCTTTCTCTCTGCCTACTTGTGATCTCTCTCTCTCTCTCTCTGTCAAATAGATAAATAAAATCTTTAAAAAAGAAAAAAAAAGAACAGCATGTTTGCATTACGTTAAAGTGCCCAGTGGTTGTGGCCAACAAGTAGAATCATAACTCAGTTGAAGAGTAGTTTCATATTCTAGTGGTAAAACAATTAGAAGTTAAGAATTTAGCATTTTTATAATATTTTTGCTCTGTAATTCTAGTTTGTTTCAAAAAATGGGTGAGCCCCAATTAGAAATCTGACTTGCTTTTTCCTGTGTCACAGAGCTAAAGATGAGCTGAGAACAGAAATCTCAAAATGCAATAATGCTGGTACGTTACATTCCAGTACTTTAGCATTCATTATGCCGTTTGGCCAGCATGCAGGAGAAAGAATGGTAAAGGGCCAAATTAAAAGTTTGCTTCCTAAGGTAAAGTATTACCAGTTCATTCCGCTCAAGCGTGTACTGGCAACACTTGTAAACAGTTCGTTCTCACATTATTTTTTTTTTCCAAAAAACTGTTACAGAATTGCCTTGCCTGTTTTTCTCTCCTTTGCACAGTCTGTGTCCTTACGTTTCAGCAATTCTAAATCAGAACGGCATCTGATAGATGACACATGGAATGTATTTGCTAATCATCTATGGCCTATTCATTAGGCGTATAGGGAATATTTATTTATCAAATCATGACTCTGTCCAGTAATTAAAAGAAAGGGACAAATTTGTATCTCTATCTTTTTTTTTTTTTTTAAGCAAAAGAAGTAATTTGTAGTAAGCACTTCTAATCATCTCAGCTGAATGTTAATAGCATTGGAAGGATAAGATTTGTTGTTTCAATCATTTAGATTTTATAGATAATTTTTATATAGAAATACTTTTCTTCTGTTGAGGCTTTTGTATCTCTACACATATGTGGCAGATTACTAAAAGAACAATTTGTCCTTTAGCTATAGTAAGACTCTTCTTTATCCCTAGTTTGCTAGATGCAAACTTCAGCCATTTTTATGGCCTTACAGAGACGGTAATGCTAATTAATGTTTTAATAGGAAAAAGTGTTGGCCAATAAAACTGTTAAATTTGAAGCTTGGATTGTAAATTCAACTTGGTTGCCCTAATGACAATGTTGATAGTGATAAAGATTATGCAATTAATATTTATGGAGTGCTTCTAGAATGCTGAGCTCTGTTGTAAATATTTTACTTATATGATTTAATTTCCCCAACTGCTCAGTTAAAGGAGGTGTTCTTAGGCCCACTTTACAGATGAATTCATAACCATTATATCTCACATTTAGTAATGATTAAAATATACTATGTTAATAACCTATTTTAGGGGCTCTTGGGTGGCTCAGTCGGTTAAGCATCTGCCTTTGGCTCAGGTCATGATCCCAGGGTCTTGGGATCGAGCCCTACGACAGGCTTCTTGCTCAGTGGGGAGCCTAGTTCTCCCTCTCCCACTGTCTCCCAACTCATGCTCTCAGTGTCTCTCTATCTCAAATAAATAAATAAAATCTTTTAAAAAATAACATTTTAAATATTCAACTCTGAAGCTTTTTTCTGAAGCTTTGCACATATGAAATAGCTATGTGTGTATATATATATGGTATATATATGCATATACATGTTTGTACGTGTATATATCTATGTATATATGTTCTTTTGTTCATTCACAAATATTGATTTGTAGACTGTGTGTTATAGGCTGCTGTGCTCAACTCTGGAGATAGTACAGTCCCTTGCCTTTAAGGGACTTCCAGTATATTGGGAGAAGAGGACTCATTTAAGATAAAAGTACAAGGAAATATGATAATTGCTTAATATTTTTAAAAGATTTTATTTATTCATTAGAGAGACAGAGAGAGCACAAGTAGAGGGAGCAGCAGGCCGAGCAAGAAGCAGTCTCCCTGCAATGTGGGGCTCGATCCCAGGACTCTAGGATCATGACCTGAGCCAAAGGCAGACACCTAACTGACTGAGCCACCCAGGGCGCCCCTGATAACTGCTTTCCTAGGGAAAGTACAGGGTGTTGTAGAAAAATGGGCAAAGAGGGCACCAGCTTCCTAGAAAGTACCAGAGAGGTTTTCATAGAGAGGAGTCCTATCTCTGAGACTTGAAGAATGGGTTTGAAACAATGATGTGCCAAAGGGACAGAGAAGATTAGGGTACGGAGAGGAGCTAGAGCAAGGCAGGGTTGGTCAGGTCAGGAAGCCACAGGGATGGAAAGTGCTGCCAGATCAGGGACATGGCGGGCTGGGGTTGGATCTCAAGGAATCTCGCATGCTGTCCGAAGGAATGCGGACCTTACATTCTGTGTGTTGAGAAGCCATCAGGAAATTAATTCAGCAAACACTCATTAAATTATGATAAAGGATGATCTTCTTCCCGCCTTCTCTCCTTCCTTTTCTCATTTATTCATTCAGCAGATTTCTACCGAGTGTCTCTAACGTGTCTCTAATGTGCCAAGCATGTGTTGAATACTGAGAGGCAGGAACATACACAATTTCGCTTTCCTGGAGCTTACTAGTTAGTAGGAGAAACAAGCATTAATCAACGAATCTAGCAAAAAAGAAAAAGAGGCAAAATTAAAAAGGTGACTGGTATTAAAAAAAGAAAAAAACACGAAGTGTTTCCATCAGAGCATGTGGTAGGAGGTAGTGACCTGGTGGAGGTCAGGAAAGGCTCCCCCCAACAGAAAGAGGGCTGAGCTGAAATCTGAAGGAAAAAAAGAGTACAAGGTCATCTGAAGAAGGTGGGTGATTTGGGGAGAAGTCTTAGTGAAGAGGAGATCATGTGCAAGGGTCCTGAGGCCTAGGAGAGCAAAGTGCTTCTTAGGAATTAAAAGAAGGCTGGAAAAGCTGGAGGGCAGGCTGCAGAAGAGCACAAGGACTGGACCCTACTGGGCCCTGGTGGCCACGTTAGGAATTTAGCTTCATGGAAAGTCATTGCATTACTGTAAGAAGGAGAGTGGGCTGAAGGGTGGCAGGAGCAAGGGCAGGGAGACCATTTGGAAGGCCAGTGCAAAGTTCCAGTGAGTCGTGCTACTTGGTAGCCTAGAGCAGGGCTGGTGCTGGTGGGGAGAGGTAAAAGGGCAGTGTGCTGGTGGTGGAATCCATGACTGGTTGGTTGGGTATGATTAGGGAGAGGAAGATGTCAGGGTGATGTTGGTAAGCTAGGAAAGCAGGGGAGGGCAAAATCCACTGCTTGGATTTCCAGGAAACATCAAACTGGGCAGTGGGGTGGGGGAGTGGATATCATAAGGAATTGAGGTTTGAGGTTGGCCTTGAAGAATGAGTAGGCATTTTCTAGTTGGCAAGCTGGAAAAGGCATGCTAATCAAAGGGAGAGGCATGCATAAAAACACAGAGGTATCACCAGAATAGTTCAAAGAAATACACACACACACACACACACACACACACACACACACACGTCTAAAAGGGAAATTAATATGTGACCCACAAGTAACTTTGCTGGTTTCCTGATGTGCTCACATTTGTTTTGTGTTGCAATGATTCGCAAACCTATAGTATACAGAATTTGTAAATAGGTAAAAATGTTTAAGTATTTTTTTAAACCACAGACATATAAAATATAGAAATTCCTTTCTTTACTTCCATATCTTAAATTAGGGCTTCACATATGGCTCTTGATTTTGTTAATCTGTCTTCTTTCCAATAAAATGTAGCCATTTAGGGAGGACTTGGATTTTAGGTTTTTCCTTTGTGGTTTGACATCTGGATTTGGGATTAGTTGGCATTTTTAATTGACTAAAATAACTATGAATTTACTCTTGATTGAAATAGGAACATGTTGATTTCAGTTTAGCTTGGGAATTAAAATTGCAGGGCAGCCACATCCAAAAAGACTGAGTAATGCTAAGACCTATGAAACATATCAACTCAGGGGAAAAAATAAGGTGGTGTCAATTTGATAGTTAATGTTTTTATAATAAATGCAGGCATGTTGATAGCAAGATCAATTTGGGAGAGATGGTACAGTCCTGGAATTATAAACATGGCCTCTGTGCACAGTTCTGGCTTAAATCCTGGCTTTAACACCTGCTAACTCTCCGAACACTCAGATCTCTGGAGTAATGATTGTTAGCTACTTTGCAGGGTACAATACAATGGGGGTAATGTGCGTAAAGCCAAGAACATAGTAAGTGTTCAGTAAATGTTAGTGAGGACTTGGAGTTTTACCACCAATAGCATGCTAGACCTCAGCCATCCACAGAGAGACACAAACAGTTGCGAAAGTGGATGCTAAGCTGTTATGGTAAAAACAGGTACCAAATTTGCTTCCCTTGTGGCTGGAAGGAATCTTAAGACACCATCAAATTCTGTAATGTTGCTGACATTTTCTGGAGGAGAACTTTTTTTTTAAAATTTCTCTGAAGTTTTGGAATCATTAGGGAAGGAGGGGAGAGAACGACATCATCTTGATGGGGACATCCCTGAATTTAGAAGATGGCCAGAAAGCTTCCATCCCGGGAGATGAGGACCAGCCGTGGGTCTGCTTGCTGAGTTCTTGACATTCTGCCATAAGAATTGTGGGTGTGGGTGTGCGAAGCCTGCATGAGAGAGATTATGCAACTATGTTTCTCTTTTTTGTGACTTCAGCTGATGTGAATGAAGGCCACAGAAAGCTGCCTCACTCAGTGGGAAATTGTTTTTATAATTACAGGTCTAGCCATTTTACCCTGAGTTTCTCAACTGCCACCCCTTCCACTCCAGCAAAATCTGTGTGGAGAGATCTGCGGGGAAGGAACTGACTGCTTATGTTTCTCCAGTGTGATGAAAGCACATGGTACAGGTAAACACCTCCCAGATCTTTAACTATGAAAGCAACCGTCATTTAGCCTAAGTTTCCCAAGGTAGTGCTGACGATGTTTGCCTACCCGGTCACACACACACACAAACCCACTACATAAATGTATACCTAGAGATTCACATATTCTCCGGGTACTCATTCTTTCTGTCTTGTAAAAATGGAACCCTTGCTTTTTTTGTGGGAAAAAAAAGAGCTTCTAATTATTTTGGGATCACTGTTTAGGATGGATGATAAAGCATCGATAAGAAAGAAAGAATTCTGATGATGGTGTTCATAACCTCAGCTGGGAGAGATGACCATCCGACGGTAGTAGGGAATAATATGTACTATTACCTAACTTTTTTGTTCCTCTTGAATATGTAATAATGAACATCTTTTCATACCAATGGATATATATTTACAGCATGATATTTAATGATTATATACAGTAGACCATTGAATGCATATCCTAAAATTTATTTAATTGATCTCCTCTATTGGACATTTAGGGTGTCTTTAATTTTTTTTTTTTTTGGCTTTTACGCTACCATGAATGTTCTTATAGCTTTATATCAGTTGCCATTACTAGTGACTTCCTTAGGATACTGCCTTACCAGTAAATCAGAGAGTTTAAAAGTTTTCGAGTCTTGAGACTTTTTGATACTGTTTGTTGCCAAATCATTTTTTCTATAAAGTCGTACCAGTTTATATTTCTCAGTATATGAGAGTACCTGTTTCCGTACAGTTTTGCCAGTGCTGAGAATTTTGAAACAAAGCATCTTGCCAGTTGATTATGAGAAATGGTATCTCTGTCTTATTTTTATTTTATGTTATTTTATTTATTTATTTGACAGAGAGATCACAAGTAGGCAGAGATGCAGGCAGAGAGAGGTGGGGAAGCAGGCTCCCTGCCGAGCAGAGAGCCCGAGTGAGGTTCAATCCCGGGACCCTGGGATCATGACCTGAGCCGAAGGCAGAGGCTTTAACCCACTGAGCCACCCAGGCGCCCCGCGGTCTTATTTTTATTATTATTTTTTTTGCAAGGAGATGTTTATTTGTAAATTTATAATTCATACTGTTTTGAAGAACCTTCCTCCAATAGACAGTAGCATGCGTAAAACTCACCAGTTTTTGACATTGGTGAGATAATACTTAAATGGAGAAGGCACGGAAGGGTCCTAGAGAATTTCGAGTGTTCCCCCTTTTTATGGCCAAGTATTTTTCGACAACCACAGTATCACCAGATAGCAATTCTTTTTCAATTTTTTTCATTTCTTCGTAAAAGTATTTGCCCATGGCCCACATTAAACACGGATTTGAAATTATTATGAAATTAAAAGTACAGGTGTGTGTGTATATTCATTTATGCGTGTACCTGCCCAGCGTCGGGAGCTGGAGTCAATGTGATGATGACAGCTCCATACGATTCAGGGGCTGCAGATCACCACAGAGAAGGCTCCAGATTTCTTGGATTCAAATTCCAGCTTCGCTGTTCTCCTAAGGTGTGACGTTGGGCAACTTCCTTCACATCTCGAATGTCTTAGGTTATAAAATTTGAAGAATAATAGTACTTACCTCCTTGGGTGTGGTTGCAGCAAAACGTAGGTGAAATATTGAAAATTATTAAAAAATCCCATTTCAAAACCATAATTGATGATAGTAGAAAACGCTTATGATAAATGGAAAAGGAAAGCAAAATACAATGCTTAAACATAGCGTACCTCAGTCTTGTTTGTACACATATAAAAATTGTTATTTTTTTCTTCTGCCTCTTTCTTTTCATCCTCCTCTGGCATCCCCAACCCCCAATGTAATATATTTCTAAATGGGTTTAATTTGAATTAATGGAGTCATCGCAGTTCTGGAGAAAGTGTCCGACCGAAGTCTGCAAGTCAGAGAGAGCCATTCACCCACAGAGCGGTGACATCTGTTGATGTCCCCTGGCCCATGGGACCCTGGGAGCAGCCCTTGCATGAGGGCAGGCTGCCTAACTCCTACGCCCCAGCGAGTGCCTTGGGTCAGGCAGGCTTCCTGGCCTCTTTGAGCTGCACGTGGAGAATCTCCATCTGGCCCGTGCATGAGCTGCCTGCCCCATCTCTTCCCCCACGATAAACAAGCTTCCTTTCCCTAATTAAATGAACGAGAAGGTAGAGTGAGAGACCCCCCCCCCTGCCCCCAGCTGTTAGGAAGCATGTGTTTCATCCCACATAAACACAGAAGGGAAACCTGTGGGGTTGTGTGGTGCGTCCATCCTTTAGCTACATCAGTCAGTTGAAAAATAGAAGGAAAAAGAGGCAACAGATGATTTGGCATTAGCGAGACAAACACAAGGCCATTCGGTGAGCTTCGGCTAACACTCTCCACTGGCCTGCCCCGCAACCCTTGCGTGTGAATCCGCACGTTTGCTTTGGCCCACGCTTACAGTCCAATTTGAACAGCTCTGTATTTTTCAATACGAGGAGGAACCTCTGAGTTCCTAATTGAGAAAGTTTAGCTAAAGAATTCCTCTTTAATGGCTCATAAATTATTCTCCTGTAAATGATCGTGAGAGCGAATAAGAAAATGCAACTTGTGTTTATACACATACATCGTTATTTTGATTAAATGAGTGAGTGCATAAAGGGAGAGAGGACAACAAGTGTGTCAGTAAATATGGGTCAGGGAAAGAGTTCGCAGTGTCCTGCCAGACTTCAGTGAGGCAGCTCACGGGCGTAGGTAGGAAGGCTAGACGTCATGGTGGTGAGAACGGTAATGGCACTGCCATATGGAACATTTGGTATTTGGATAGCACTTGGACTCCTCCTGAACTACAGAATCAATAGGAACTCAAACAGCGAGGAAGAAACCGTTCCCTTGCTGCAGATCACTGGCTGGGCCACAGAAATGCAGACGTGTGGATTCTCTAGGGCTTTACCATCTCTAGGAAGGCAGAAGAGGGGGGGACTATCCCATCATATTTAACTGTGCTCCTGTGGTCCTGCCCTTTTTGCTTATCTCTAACCAAACCATTTTTTGCAATCGTGGAGGAAATCTGTCTGCAAGACCAGGTCAAGACCACTGTTGAAAACTCATTCGTAGAGTCCCACAGGGCCCTGTGGGGTGATGAGGACTCTGCTGGTACAGAGTGAAGTGTAAGAGGCTGAGACCATGTCTTCACATTCTAACTCCATTCAGTCCTGTTTGACCCATTTATTCATTCAGCAAATACCTCTTTGGTAGGGGTACTATGTACTGGTATGGGTCTAAGCACTAGAGACTGGGAATGTAACAAGATGAGACAGGAAGCCTGCCCTAAGGGTGTTCACATTTCCAAGGGCAGCACCCTCCATAGCATCATAGCCTAGTTCGGGTGGACGTGGAGCTGGACTGGGCCGTTCTAAAAGGAGGTAGAGAATACATCTCAAATGAGAGAACCCAAGAGAGAAAGACCCATTGATCTGAAAGGCAGAAAGAACCAGAGAACGGTCGGCCATTGGCCGTGAGGTCGTGGTTACTAACAGCAGGACCGGATTGGGAACGGAGTAGAAAGTGGAGAGAGAAGACAGCTGCTATGGTACTCTGCTTGGATGCACGCGGTCAGGGCCAGGAACATTCCAGCAGCTACTGATCTCAACGTAGATAGGTAATCAAAATGGTGCCTGCGATTGGCAAGCTGTATTTTAAACCATCGTGGAATAAATATGTTGTTGTCTACGACTCTGTGAACGTGCTAGATGGAGGAGTGGGCGGCCAACGGTAGATGACGGCACTTGCTGTGTTCAGCCACGACCCAAAGAAGGGGGGGAGGGGTTGATTTACCAGAACCTGCGTACCTTATTCTAATTTTGAGTAACCGCATCCTTTTTCTTATCTTATCCACCGTCATTCGTGTTATAAGGGGAGATTAAGTATACAATTAATTCTTCCTTCCGTGTCCAAGCATAATTAACTTTACTTGGTTCACTTGAAACGGACGAAAGTTCCAGATCAAAATAGTCTCTTTGGTCGTCACATCTTGGCCTCTCCAGTATTTGGTGGCCTTCTGCTCTTCTTGTTTCTGGGACTGAAACCAGAAACAAGATTCTTGGTTCTTCTGACCTTCTTCCCTCCATTCCCGGGTGATTTAGTGGTCTCTTAAATAATAAGATCCACTCAGAGATTTCTTTTGTCTTCTTTGGCCTCCAGCACGGGTTTGGTAAAAGCTTCATTTCTGGCTTTAGACTGACTATCATTGGCGTGGGGGCGGCTTTTCTCTATTTTGTCTTTCCCTGGTCAATGGCTTTCTTCTGGGGCTCAAACCTCTACCATATATTTTACCTAAATACTTTTCCCTTCTTTGACTTGCCCAGTTTAGTTGCTTATCCCACTCCTCAACCCAATCCACCCAACTATCCAACACATGCATATGCTATGCATTCTGCATAGTACATCAGCAATGCACATTTCCACGGTTAAGAAAACCCTATTGCTATTCATTAGATATTTAAAATAGACATCTCCTTCAAACTTATCTTCCAGCATCGATATGTTCTTCCGTTTTCCACTCCAGTTCCTGAAAAAAAAAAAAAAAAAAAAAGCCTCCATAATTCATAGCCACTTTGGGGGAAGGTATTTATTTTGAAACACTTAATGATGTGTTTCATAGCAAAATGAAAAACGTAGAGACAAAGACTCAAGAGTACATAGTGTTTTAGATGTAGGCCTAGCTTTTCAAAACTATTGTGGAGTGTGTTTGAGTTTCTAAAATAATTTACCAGACTCCCGTGTAAAGCACTTTATTCTTTGAAAGCCTTATAAATCATGTGATTTTGTCAATGCACAGACATTCACATAGTTCCTTTACCTCATGAAATAAGGTAGATTATTGTGTCACCTGATGGAGGAAAACATGTAAAAAAAACGGTTGACTCCAAAGCCTACCATTTTGTCTTTGGGACCCTGAGGTGGAGAGCTGCAGAAATTCTTTCCTCTCAACTACACTGATGCTGCCCTTGACATTGGCACACTGCACTGTTCCAAGAGTA